TGAGTTTAAGGGCTGCCAGATTAAAGCCTCTGAGTATCACACAAAGTGGCCATAGCTCCTCCTTGAGAGTTAGCAAGTGACATTATCAAGGAATGAAGCAAACAGCCTTTCAGCAGGGGATAATTTGCCCTACAAACTTTATGCTTGAATTAGAAAAACAAGCTTCAGTCTGTCAATGCCAGACCATTTGAGGAGAATTTAATAAATGCAGAACTGATGTTTTGCTGCAAGGAAACCCATTTTCAAGTTGTGTGAGAACTGAAATAAGAAATGTCTCCCAAAAAAATGTGTGCTTGGGGAGGGTATTTTAACTACTTGGATCAAAATCTACTGACCCAGGGTACTTTAGTGATGGCCAAGTTGCCATTCTGGGTTGTGACTGGGGAGCAGCCAAATGGATGCAGGAGCTCTGTGAGGTGGAACGCTTGGAGTGAAGAAGAATTGCAAGTTTTTCATGTGTTTCTAGGATTGCCAGCAAGTGTCAGAAACAGGAAAAACACATTCTCCCCCACATCTTTTCAAACTCTCATCTCTGAGAAGAGTACATGTGGTTAAATGCACCGTGACTGTCTGAGAGAAATGGGAAGGAGAAAACTCTTGGGAGTAGTTCTTTTTCTTCCTCCTTAGCCAGGATTTGATTCCAAAGTGGTTGGGGTATAGTCTCCTGGAGAAGGGGCTGTGGATTTCATTTGGAGGGTGTGGAAGGGAAGCAGTGGCTTCACTCAGTGTCTATCTGGTGTCTGGCAGGTGAAGTCAAAGTCAGAAGGTCCTCAGTAAATCTTCTACAAACAGATTTTTCAGCTTTTTTGAATCCTGCTTGTTTCACCTAGTTATGGTTTCTTACTTTTGAGTTTTTCTCGCTAATTTCACAAATTCCTTGACATGACCCTAATAAAAAGACAAGTGAACTGAGCAGTCACAGACTTCATTTCAGCTATAAATCATTCCCCTTTCTCCTGTGTGAAAGAGCAGCCTGGATTAAAAATCTGAAATGTTAATCCAGAGGTTCTGTAATTTCTGTCATACACATTACTGTGGGGTTTCTTGCACCTCATCATCTCTGCCATTCCATGACACATTTGTGTGTCATGGGGAAAAAAAAAACATACCATACTATATTTATCCACTTTTCTTCTCATGTGTCTCCTCTCACTTCTCTTGCTTTTCTCCTTCTGTGCTGATTTACTCTGTTCCTGTGGATGTTCATGTCCTGATGGTGAATGGCAACCTCCTGCCAGGTGCCTCTGACCCTGCTCTGCTGTAGCAGTGCTGCTCTCCCCTTTCTTCTTCCTGCTCTCACAAGTCTCTGGTCAGCTGTTTGCAGGAGAGCAAAGTGAAGCCTGAAGGTTTTAGACTCAGGAGATGGTTTCCCCACAGCCTGGTGGTGTGTGCTCTGTGTCCCTGCAGTCACAGGAGTCTCTACACCAGTACAGAGAAATAAACAGTCATCTTCTGTAGACTATTCTGGATGAATTTCAATCAATTTTAAGCCAAACCCAGAGGATATCATTTTCTGGTTCAAGGATTCTTGTTACAATTTGTAATACATAAGTCTGTAAAGCAATTTGCATTTTCCTGCATGTGTATAATTTTAATATAGTTGTTTTAAATAGCAATTTAATTTTGATTGAGAAGAGTAAAAATTTTTATTTCAGACTTCAAGACTACTAGGGTGTTGGGGTTTTTTTTAAACAAAAACAAAAAAAGGGATTGATGCAGTTCTACACTGGTCTACAGACCTTTGAAGAAATAATTTTATAATGAGAAGGTGAGGGAGGATGTGCTGCTTTTTTGGGCTGTGTTTAATCAGGACTTTAGCCTAATAGTGGCAAATGGTTATAACTGCTACTCAAACAGGACAGCATAGCATTAGCATAAATTGCATTTAATGTGATTATATTAATCCAAGGTTGAGCAGCTAAGTGATGCTTAGCCAGGTGTTAAATAGGTATGGCTATCTAAGGTTTAGTCAATTACTGTAGACATTTGCCAATTAAAGAGAGTAAAAGAGCAAATAAAAATTAAATTCCATTCTATTTAGCACCTTACATTGTCTTTGCAACTGTCAAAATTGCTTTTTAAAATGTCTTTTTCTAGTCCTGTACTCTTTCAAAATAAAGAAATTTCTATTAAATTTTTAGCTGTTCAGCAGAACCATCGTTGCCCACTTCTGCAGGAAAATAATTCTTACCTATTTTTCTGGTTTTATAGCTTTTTTTTTTCCCCAGAGTACTAATTTATGTCTAGTTCCTATAACTGGAAAGATATTAGAGGATCATGTAATACATGTGCAAATAAAAAAAAAAGAAATTACCTACTATGCAGTACCCCTTCTCTATAATTCTGTATCAACAGAAGCAGTGCATGTGTTATAAAATTTCAAGAGTATACACCTTTTTTTCTTCAACAAAATGCATTATTCTCCCACTAAACACCTTGCTTCCCACTGGTATGGAGGAGAATTTTCCCAGGAGCTGTCATTCTGATCCCACAGATTTCATGTGCACACACACCCTACGGAGACAGAAGACTCCAGGTGGATGAGATGTGATCCATGCTAACTCTGTATCCAGACGTGGGTTTTGTAATGGCTTTTTAGTTTCCTTTTTTTGCTTGTTTTCCCAGCAAGGTGTAAAGACAGGGGAATAGTAAGAGGAGACATTTGCCCTTTTCCATAAATTTCTATTGCAAACACGTTACTCAGCACTCCTCCATTATCGAAGGGGCCTGTTGCACATAAATCTCACTTAAATGTTAATCAGCTTCAAGTGAGCTGCAGTCAAATGGAAGTTTGCAGATGAAGTGACCCAGAAGGGATTGGTAGTGGGAGAAGAATCAGAGAGCAGTCTTCTGGCTCATTTAGTATTCAAGGCTTTGGACAAACAAGA